AGAGAGAGAGAGAGAGAGAGAGAGAGAGAGAGAGAGAGAGAGAGAGAGAGAGAGAGAGAGAGAGAGAGAGAGAGAGAGAGAGAGAGAGAGAGAGAGAGACTAATTTTTTTATCATTAAAATATCCTAAATTATATAGATTTTTCAATATATTAAAGTGCATCATAATTAATCGATCTCAAATAAACGAAATAATCTATCAATATCGATATCACGAGACTCAATAGTCGAATAGTCAAAAGGCTATTTCTATTTCTGTAAAGGAAAGAGATACGCGAACCAAAGAGTTTGGGAAGATTCCATTTTGAAAAGTGACAACGTATTGTCGAAGGTACAACGAAAGATGTGAATCTGGGGAAAATCGATAGAATTTCAAAGCGAGCATCTCTGCTATTATTCGAACTGGCTGCGAAACCGTTCGTTCGCATTATTCACGAATCCTATACGCGAAAGAATTCTAAATCCAAGCAGCTGATATAAAAAAAAACTAGATCCTTAAAACTTCAAATTTAATAATAATCTGATTATAATACAATTATATTATACGTATTAATACGTAATATACGTATTCATATCAGAACTCTTACATAAAATTGATTAGGCAATAATGAGTAACAATATTTAATGTTATCGATAATATATATTTGATGTTATTACAATATTAAATATTTTTCCAATATTTAATGTTATTTATCTTCTGTAATTATTCAAAACGTATAAAAGAAGATGTTTCTATTTCTTTATCGCTCAAAGTAGCTTTAAGTTGATGTATAAGGTTTGTCATTTGTCTATCAAGCTCTGATGTATTAAACAAAGTTAAAACTTGACTTCTTTGCAAAGAGAAGTGAAAAATTTTATTTCAAACAAAGTGTGAAGTATACTAACATGAAATTCATAGCGATACTTTGGCTTTGATTTTGCTAAAACTTTCAACTCTTTTTGTACTAATACGCCAAACTTTTTGCAGCAATCTAGTAGACGATCATATATCTGCAGAAATAGTGTTCGCATTATCTCTTGATAGTCACACGGGATCAAAATGACCCCATTTTTAAACAGCTGGATGCTGTTCAAAAACTAACAGTTTAAGTGGATTGCAAAAAAATCTAGAATTAAGTTTAAACATTTTGTAGAATGTATTCTCATTATAAAATATTAACTTTTTGAGTGGCATTATGTTAAAAAAAAATCCTTAAAAAATGTTTAAAAAAGAGGTGTGACTACCGAGGGTTATACATCTTTTTTATTTTAGATTTAGATGACTTATTTGAGATGATAGATAGAGAAGCGTATAAATTTAAAGTGTGTAAAAATTTGCCGCGAATATCACTAGAGAGATCGCGAAATTATCTTATATCACATCTTCGTAAAATTTCCAAGTCTTCGTGTTTTATCGTTCACGAAATAACAAAAATATGCCGTCACGAGTAGATGCAACACGATGACAAGTATATAATATCAAAGTTCCCAGTATCGATTATCGATCGCACGTACTGCAAGCACTGTAGCGCGAGAACGACGGCGGACAAAAAGCGAGCGTTAGTAAAATATCGTGATGAACTGCCAATGAAATTTATAGAAAGGTGGTTATCGCGACCGGTGAAAGTTCCCGTAAACGTCCCGATGAAGCGCGTAACGTCTACTTCCGCCCGGCAAAACCAATTTTACTTTAATGTTCGAGTCACGCGGACAGACGTCGATCAACGGAAATAGGATATATCGATTTCGTGTCTCGCTGGAATACTTGCGTTTGTACTTCCAGCACCGTAAGAGGCACCCGCGGTGTAAATTTCCCTTCCATAAACTGTTTATCGTTCGATCCAGCAGCGATTTACAATCAAATCGTGACATCTTTGTGGATCTATCTCTGACAAACGACTTTTCTCGTGCTCTGTACGTATATAAATATATTTATACACATGTACAATATACTCCGGTATTTAAACACGAAAAACACTTGTGTGATTAGAAAAGAAAATGATCTAACTTACAAACTATCTATTATTGCATTATTATTGCATAGGTAATTATGCAACAATATTACATAATATTGCAATATTCTGAAAATTTCCATAGATGTGGTATAAGGAATAATCCAACGCCAAGGTGCACAGTTCTAATGATAGCCTTCGACGAATACGGAATCAATTTTTCTAAATAAAAATTTGATCATTATCCAATATCTTGAAGGCGCTGGAAGTTCATTGAACTGTCTAAACGGGATTTGTCCCTTGTTAGGCGGGAATAGAAATGGAGCTCTTACCATGGCGAGCATGTTGGCGGCAGATGGCTTGACCTGCGTGCGAAAGTAATTGTGGGTGTCCACGATCTTCTGCCGCACCTTGCTACTAGTGGTCCTTATTAAACTGACAGGAACTCTGTCACCATATAGACGTGGCGCTGAAAATAAAAAGAAAACATCTCCTTCCGATAACCGACATCTGTCGCCGACGAAGGCTTGAGTTTGGCCGATAGCTCTGCGACTACTCAGTTCTCTTTTGCGAAGAGCAAAGGGAAGATCCTTGGACAGATCTTGCTGTGAAAGCGAAAAGCGTATTTTGCCTTCCCAGCAAAATATGTCAGTTAGGACATAAAGAAATGTGAGAATAAGGAAGAAAAAAAGAGTACAGAATTCCATAACTATATAGGATACAGAAGCTCGTGTTGTTTCATAATGTACTTTCCACTTCTCGTTTACTCGCGACGTGTCGCGAGAGTTCCGATCATTTCGGAAATTACTCGAATGTCCGGTTGAAAAACGGAAATGTTTCAAACGGATGCTGTTCTCGCTATCACATGACGCGATACCGTTTCAGTTCCTGTTTCGACTCTGTCTAAATGCTTTATTCCGCATATATCCTCCTTTGATAAAAACAGAATATTTTCTTCGTTTTTATCGTCCAGATTGTCGGAAGAATTGAAAATCTATCGTAAAACAATTTCGGATAGCAATATCGTGTGTACTTTTGAACAGTCACGGGTCTCTTTCGGAATCGGCTTACCGTCGTTATGCGGGGAAACAAACGACGGCGCGGCGGTTTTCTTCATCACGATGTGAAGTGATTCTCCGTGCCCCGATCAAAATCGACTTTCCGCCTGCTCGCAATGTATCGAGTAGCCTTCCGCGATCCTTTTGGGAACCAGTATACAAGAATGTCCGTGATAGGATAACGGTGAAAACGGGAGCATTTTGATCGAATATCTTTCCGGATAGTTACAAGATACGTTCTTTGATGTTCTCGTATACGAAAGCTCACCGTGAAACCTCACGAACTTCCATTTCTCAGAAGTTAGATAGAGCGTCCGGGATGCGCAAAAACGACTAACAAATGCAATAATTGTAATTAATAAAAGAATAAAAGAAAGACACGCGAGTTATTCTCTTCGCATAAACTTTTAAAGCAGTTTATTTCAGGAATAATATTTCTCTGCTACAACTGCTCGTGAAAATTACTTATTTAAAGATGTTTACTTACTCGGCTTGCTCCTGTGGATTTTTCGTGGTACAGCAGCTGGCAGCGCCAGAGCCACTAAGACAATTATCCAAAGCCACTTCATTGTTTCCGTATATGAGCTGGAACATGAAATGTAGCCGTTTTATATTTCAAGTTCTTGTTGCCAAGTTCTATTCTATTAATATACAAGGCATTGCAATATTAAGTGCTCAAACTTTGAGATCGTATTGAATATTCAAAGATGAACTGAAAGTTTCGTTGAAACTGTAAGACATCTTTTTTCGTGTGTCACATTACGCGAGCAATTGATATTATACAATTGGCCTTTCGTAAATTTCTTTGTCATTATCTATTCGTTTTACTTAAACAACTTTTCTTTTAATGTGACATTTAATCCCCAAGACAATCAATGTTGAAAATTACACAAAAATACGAGAAAATGAGCTCTAATGCATTGCTAAAGAAAAATCGACTTTGAAATGGTCAAAGAAACTGCAAACGAAGTTTCCACGTAGTTTTTTTTTTATCTCCGTATGTACAATTGTATTTCGATCAATCTTTTTCTCCCTGCTCTTGTTAGTCATTCGGTCGTCGAACTTTTCCAGCACAGCGTGCATGCACATGTGCGCGCAGCCTCAGTCGAGCGACACGACATTCGTATACCTGTGTGCGGCTCATTAATCACCATTCGCCTCGTCAACGGCAAATTTCATTATTTCTCGCCCGTGAAACTGTATGTCCACGGCCGTAGCGTTATCAACCCCGCTATCAACCCTGACAACGCCGCCGCTATCATCAATAGCACGGCGCCTTCCGCGGTGGTAAACGTCAAAGGCAAATGGCACGTACGAAGACAGATTACGTTGAACGTTATTCACGTTCACGCAATAGTCCGCCGAACAAAATCCCTCGATTTTTTTTTTTTTAATCAGTTCACTAGGCAACAATGAAATACTCTCAATGAGACTCGATAGTGTTTCCAATTCTCTCCAGTTCCCTCCGATTTAATTTTCGAAGAATTTTGAAGCTAGAAATTTGATCATTTTTACATTTAAAAAACATTCATAGTTACAATTTTCGAAAATACTAAATGTTTTTTATTATTTGATATATATTTGTAAAAATCGGTTAAAAGTATTAAATAGCAACTAATCATATTTTTGCATTTTATAATTAATATCTACGTAAGCTGAGCGACTGATATATAATTTTGAAAAATATAATTCTTATATAAATACGGATTCTTCTCGATTATGAGGTATTAAATATATAGAGATCATTTTCAAACGTCTATTAAGATGAAATATAAATTTCCTGAACTTATATTAATATCCATCTAATTACCGACTCAAATCTTTAATGCACATTGTCAAGCAAGTAAAAATGACAGAAATGTGTCTACATACGAATAATATTATATTCTCTTTAATACGTTCTCTTTAATATGAGGTTCTTTAGATGACGGGGACCAAAGTTCGTCTTCTTCGTCTGTTCTATTTGCTGCGAAGACTTTGAGGACTTCGAAGTATCAAAGGAATGCAAAAAGGTTCGACCAAGCTGAACGACATCAAAGGCACATTTTGTTTCCTCAGTCCTGCGCACATTCTTATGTCCGTCACTTTTCATTTTCTCTTTTAGAATATCCTCCGTCTTCCGGACGAAAGATATTCCAATTTCCCCCCTTCTAAAGCCCCTTTTCTCTCTCGCAGACGGAGCGTATGCAAAATAGTTTAAGACAGATGATACATATGGATGTCTCTTGGCACGCTTTTCGCGTTGATTAGATTTTGATCACTCACTCTCGAAATCGACACAGAAAAACGTAAAACATCCGCTCGTCCAATTTGGCGACTTGAAACAAGAATTAACAACAAAAGCTTTTAAATTTTCTTTAATTAAATATTTTCATATTTTGTTGTGTAATATTATACATTTTATTTGTTTTTAATATTTAATAAATTTTAATTTTCCGATTTTATTTTAAAGCATAAAATTATATCATATTAGTTTGCAATTTATATTGTATTATTTCATCAATATTATATCAAAAGATTTATTATACACAGAGTGTATAAAAATGCAACTGACGATATCTTTTAAATATACTGTCCGCGTATAGGATTTAACTGAATAAAGACGGGCTCTATACGAATATCCAGTGTATTAATATCCTCGGAAAGTACTCGTGGCTTCTCGGGATTCCGGGGGAAAACGCTAATGCGAGCTCACCAAACATTCGGAACTTTGTACAGGCTGTTGCTGTTTGCTTCGACATGCTAAACACATGGCATGCGGATGTCCGAGTCGCAATAATTATTCGCAATTTTGTTGGCTAGTTGCGCATGTTTGAGAAACGACAAAACAACATGAGTGATAACAAAGTTTCTCCAATTCGAGAATCTTTCGAAAGCAACGGTCTTTTCGCCCAAGATATTTTTTATCACGATTGCCTTTTAATTTACAACGCCATTTCATGAAGTTTTATACCTTTTGTTTTTTAAATTCTCCCGTTTATACCAATTTTTTATTTTTACTTTAACAAGTCTTGTTTAAGAATCTCAGACGTCTTTCCCTACCTACATTATCTTACGAAGACTATATTCTCTGAATAGGTAGTATAAAAGAAAAGAATTTTTATTAGACAACTTTTTTTTACGTTCTATCGTTTTTATGCTTTAATTGCAAGTGTATTTTGCATGCAAAAGTGCAAAGTAAAAATTAAATGAGCTAAAGATGTTGTAAAAAGTACAAATATGTATATACAAACTTATAATTAAAATCATCATTAATTTAATTTTTGCTGGCAGTTATCACTAATTTCATAGTTTTCATATTATGCAGAAGTGTAACAATGTCGTTGTATAAATAAGTTAAGTTTTATATTATATTGTAACATTGTAAACATCGACATATGCAAGACTTGGTCTGCGCCTTGGCATTATTTCAAAATCGTACGTGACAGTCCAAACCCACTCCTTTGTCGAAGCACATATATGCGGTGCGCTCGCGGCTCGCCCTCGAGGGTTAAAAGGATACGATGGTGCCGTAGTACTACCACATATTCCACATTTATTGCACGTTTGATGTGAACAGTGTAGATAGATATCAGTTTATTCTAATGCGAGTGTGCAGTACGCCTTTATAGCGCAGCGCTAGTGGTAGAAGCGAAGTGAGGTCAGCCGTGTCTGACCACAACCGTCGTTTTCACTGAAGCAATTCACTTAAAGTATGTTATAGCTTAATTTACCCATACTCAGCGTTCTTTCGAGACTTGTGCAAATTTATTATCGAGTTCTAGCTATAATTCAATGAAGATACAGGCGTAAAGATATGGCTCTCATAATATAAGAGACCGGTATGTTAAAGTGTTAAAAGTGCTGTTTCGCTGAATTAAAATTAGTTTCTCTGCCGTTTTTTCGAGTACGAATCGGTAATGGAAAATTAATGAGGCCGAATGAATGCCACAAAGGATGATTCTTTTGTCGGACGAGTTGGTTATTATGAGATTCATTACACTCCATGTTACATGAGGAATAAAGGGACGCTCCTTTCATCAAGAGTCAAAAGCGGCAGTTCGTCAATAATTCAGAGGAAATTTCAGACCGAGGATAAGCCCGACGGAAACCGCATTTAATTTGCGACAAAGTCCGTGGTCGACGAAGTACTCCGAGTACCCGTGAGACGACGATACGCGCGCGTGTTACCGCGTAAAACATGTAGCGCGTAATATCGGCCGCGTGTAAATTGCTCATAAATATTTTCACTTAATTTCGCAAATCAAGAGTGCGTCGCACGGATAACAACGGTTCCGTCAAGCCCCTCGGTAACGCCCGTTTATAATTAAAATCGTAATTGCGAAGTAGCTTGCCGACTACGAGATGATCTAACTTCTCGTTTTGGGATAACCACGGCTCTGGATTTAAGACCGTGCAATGATTTATTATACCGCGCAACGCGATGATTCTCGATATTTGTTCCATGCAAATAAGAAACATTTATATATCAATGTAACACAATTTGACACGCGATCAATGACGCGTATTTGTATATTTAACATAATTAACGTAAATGCGGAATCAACTTTCGTAAATACGGAAACACTTTCAAATACAAGCTGAATTAATCAATATATTTGGAAACTTGAAGGCACATATTTAAACGTTTTAGAAATTAATTTTAAAATAAAAAAATGTCTTTTATATAAGAAAAATTATAATAAAAAAAGTTTCATTGAATTTATTAAAATAATTATGCCTGCAGTCCGTCGAGCTGCGTATAAGCAGTTATCATCTTTTTTCTTTCTTTTTACTTTATATATCTTCTTATGAGTTATGATAAGATGACGATTTATTACAGCTATAACATCGTTATCGCGTAAGGTTAGAATTCTTGGAGGATTATCTAAATGTTGATAAAATACTATTATGTCATTTGCCTCCCTCGTTGCAGCAGCACAAAAGTCGAATTACAAGGCCGCGGACGACCTCTTTGACTCTCCGTCGTAGTCGGAAACGGGAAACTTTATCGATAGTTTCGCATTCCCCGCCATTAAACGCGGCTTTCGCATTCAACTGAATCCCGAAGTATCTCGCTAATGGGTACACCCGGGCTTTTGTGCGTTAAACTCCGAATGAATCGTCACCGCATTGCCGCCGCGACATCGCTACTAACAAACGGAGGCATAAATCGCCCGGTTATTTCGCGGTGCACATGCACGAGCATTATATTTTTTAATAAAAAAAACATGGAAATAACACTGCAATTTGAGGCAGCAAAGCTACAAAGAGCCTCCGATTACAAAGTATCGTGCGGCATATATTGAAATATGTATTCCGACGGTGAATATCGAAATTGCAGAACCATTTTTCATCTCGCAGATTATTTTTTTTCGGACGAAAGCAGTTTATTTTAAATGCCAGTTGTTTGAGAAAATGTTATATGAAAATTATAATAGAGGATCAAAAATATAAATGCGTGGAAAATACGAATCATTTAACGTTCTTCATAATGTACCTACAATACATGTACGACATTTTACTTTATTTTACAAACAATTATTTGTTTTCTATTATGTTTTTGATAGAACAAATTGCTAGGTTATTATTTGCAGCCCTGTAAT